TACTCATCAATCTACACACAATACCCCATCATGACAAAGCAAAAACTGGTCTTTAGATTTTTTTGCAAATGTATTACACATAAAAAACGGATATAACATTTACATTTTTATTCAGACCCTTTACTCAGTACTTTGTTGAAGCACCTTTGGCAGCGATTAATGTAACAAAATGTGGAAAACGTCAAGGGGTCTGAATACTTTCCCAAAGCACTGTAGATGTGAGATGTCATGGCAAAGAAAAACAGCATGCATTTTGGTTAGAAAAAAAGTTAGGAGAGCTCAAACATTTTCTACTAATGAAAGTCTTAAAATAAATAAAAATGGTAGACATTTTTAAATGTAACTGTGTACAATTAATGTATTAAATTAAAAATGTATCAAGAGTCAACAGTAGGTAAGCCAATCCAGGTCACCCGTGATACAAGTCAGTATTCGACGTCCATCTATGTCTGAGGACATTGGGAGATGACATGGAAACTGGCCACTACGGGCAACAGTGAGCATTGTTACCTTCAAGTAGGTTTTGGTTTTACTAGTGCATTGGGGATGGTGGATGTACGTAAGCATCTGCTTCTAATTCCTAAGGTTGCAAGTACAAATCCAGCGATAGAAAGTTGTTTTTGAGATTTTTGTTTTAAGCCTATCCCAAACCTTAACCCTTACCTTAACCATTCGGTGTTAATGCCTAACCTTAACACTTAAACACTTTGACATTTGACATTTGAGAAACATGAATGAACGTCTAATTCTGACGTGAGACTGTGAGAGCTAGTTGCGTAAGCCATGGATAAAATGCAGTATTGATTTTCCACTCGGTCTGAGAACATCTACATTTTTCATTTTCATGGATTTCTAATATTGCTGCTCACATTCGTAGGAAAAGGCATGCCCTTATTCAGTGTCCCATGTTTCGGCAAAAGCAATCCGTCATGGTGGTTAACCCACTCTTAAAGAACTGCTTTAAATGCATTGCTAGTATTCCCCAAAATCACTAGCTACCTGTCTTCTACAAGGTGTGGCCATTGACCCATCTAACTGACTAGCTGCTACAGTCATTTGCTTACGTCTTTGATGTTCACCTTTCATTATTTCAACTTTTATTAGGACAGTAATCCCTCAACGATGAGTCATTCTTTTTATACATCATTTTTCAAGCTCTGTAATCACCGGATGATTCATTAAAATACAACTTCACATAAATCATTTGTTTCCTCCATCTGCTCACAATGATCCCATCAATGCAATGGAGCAGGGTTTAAGTTGTAGTAACAATTTGTGTAATGATGAACATAAACATTGCAAACACAATAAAAACTGCAAGGCATCAACATTATTCTTTTGATATAATAGTTATATTAATGCTAAAGATTATAATGTTGTGTTATGCTATGGTAATTGAAACTCAACTTAATGCACCTAATCATTTTGCATTTGCAACATTAAGCAGACAGATTACTTAAAAAATGATTGTTTTAGAAAGCAAATCTTGTTTTGAAGATGTAATTAATTCATTAATTGATTGATGGTTAGTATTGCACTGACGATAGCCTAATAGATAATTGAATCACCAAGAGGACACCAGCTCCATGACACACACTCCATCAGACAGTGTTCAGTGAGTTGTGCAATATGTCTTAGCTAGCACAGTTACTTGGTTGCATTACTTAGTTCCAGTTGACATATGGTTACAGTGGGGGAAAAAAGTATTTAGTCAGCCACCAATTGTGCAAGTTCTCCCACTTAAAAAGATCAGAGAGGCCTGTAATTTTCATCATAGGTACACGTCAACTATGACAGACAAAATGAAAAAAACAAATCCAGAAAATCACATTGTAGGATTTTTAATGAATTTATTTGCAAATTATGGTGGAAAATAAGTATTTGGTCAATATCAAAAGTTTCTCAATACTTTCTTATTTACCCTTTGTTGGCAATGACACAGGTCAAACGTTTTCTGTAAGTCTTCAAGGTTTTCATACACTGTTGCTGTTATTTTGGCCCATTCCTCCATGCAGATCTCCTCTAGAGCAGTGATGTTTTGGGGCTGTTGCTGGGCAACACAGACTTTCAACTCCCTCCAAAGATTTTCTATGGGGTTGAGATCTGGAGACTGGCTAGGCCACTCCAGGACCTTGAAATGCTTCTTACGAAGCCACTCCTTCGTTGCCCGGGCGGTGTGTTTGGGATCATTGTCATGCTGAAAGACCCAGCCACGTTTCATCTTCAATGCCCTTGCTGATGGAAGAAGGTTTTCACTCAAAATCTCACGATACATGGCCCCATTCATTCTTTCCTTTACACGGATCAGTCGTCCTGGTCCCTTTGCAGAAAAACAGCACCAAAGCATGATGTTTCCACCCCCATGCTTCACAGTAGGTATGGTGTTCTTTGGATGCAACTCAGCATTCTTTGTCCTCCAAACATGACGAGTTGAGTTTTTACCAAAAAGTTCTATTTTGGTTTCACCTGACCATATGACATTCTCCCAATCCTCTTCTGGATCATCCAAATGCACTCTAGCAAACTTCAGATGGGCCTTGACATGTACTGGCTTAAGCAGGGGGACACGTCTGGCACTGCAGGATTTGAGTCCCTGGCGGCGTAGTGTGTTACTGATGGTAGGCTTTGTTACTTTGGTCCCAGCTCTCTGCAGGTCATTCACTAGGTCCCCCTGTGTGGTTCTGGGATTTTTGCTCACCGTTCTTGTGATCATTTTGACCCCACGGGGTGAGATCTTGCGTGGAGCCCCAGATCGAGGGAGATTATCAGTGGTCTTGTATAATATAATAATAATATGCCATTTAGCAGACGCTTTTATCCAAAGCGACTTACAGTCATGCGTGCATACATTTTTGTGTATGGGCGGTCCCGGGGATCGAACCCACTACCTTGGCGTTACAAGCGCCGTGCTCTACCAGCTGAGCTACAGAGGACCTCTTCCATTGCCTAATAATTGCTCCCACAGTTGATTTCTTCAAACCAAGCTGCTTACCTATTGCAGATTCAGTCTTCCCAGCCTGGTGCAGGTCTACAATTTTGTTTCTGGTGTCCTTTGACAGCTCTTTGGTCTTGGCCATAGTGGAGTTTGGAGTGTGACTGTTTGAGGTTGTGGACAGGTCTTTTATACTGATAACAAGTTCAAACAGGTGCCATTAATACAGGTTACGAGTGGAGGACAGAGGAGCCTCTTAAAGAAGAAGTTACAGGTCTGTGAGAGCCAGAAATCTTGCTTGTTTGTAGGTGACCAAATACTTATTTCCCACCATAATTTGCAAATAAATTCATAAAAATCCTACAATGTGATTTTCTGGAGAAAAAAATTCTCAATTTGTCTGTCATAGTTGACATGTACCTATGAGGAAAATTACAGGCCTCTCTCATCTTTTTAAGTGGGAGAACTTGCACAATTGGTGGCTGACTAAATACTTTTTTTCCCCACTGTATATGAGGGCTCTCCTCTCTTTTCTGTCTTTGCACTAAGCAAAATCACCAGTGTTAAATTCAGTGTCAAAAGTGATCGACTCCCATAGAGTTGGTTTAACAACTGGCAGTGCCAAATGACCCCTAGCGTCAGTGCTGATAACTGGTGTTAATTGCTAAGGTATAACATTTTACTCTATTAGTGTAGAGTTTTACTCAGTAAGTGTAAACATCATCACAACCCTGCCCATAAATTCAGTTTCTGCATTCAAATTTCCAATTTTCTCAACACCATTGTTGGATCAACAAAATCCTAATTTGTTCCACGCAAAGGTGAGTTTTAAACAATTATTTCACTGAAATGATTTAGCTATTTTAATTTAAATACTTGACACTTGGTTGTCAGACTGCAGTGTAACATAAAAAGTCTAACAGTTTTGATTGTGTGTGTGCAGCTAACATTAGTTACTTGCGTTTCACTTTTTGCACGTCTTTGCTAGATAGCTAGCATGCTAGCTAACTAGCTCGCTCCTGTCCTGTGCAGTTAGTTTTCTCCACTTGGTGGTTCCATGGGCAGGTGTCTCATTTCAGCACCAAGCTTTTTTAGCCTCATGCTAGTTTGTTCTCTTTATTTCAGCTGCTTACTATATATTGAGGACTAATCTGATTAAGATGAGTTGTTTATTTAGCCAAATTATAACTGCATTTTGAACTTTTGGGTGATTCTTTTAGATAAATATTGTGGCCATTGCATCGGCAGTTAGCTAGTCTAGCTAACTGCGTTTCCCACTCGCTTTATCACCAGTTAATTTTGGTGGTCTTGTAAGACTGCTCCTAGAACATGACAACATAATACAGTGACTAGCTGGAATTATGAGTGTATTTTACTGGACTAATTAGCCCGTGTCCATATTTCGGGACAGTGAATGTGAGTTGAATAGTCTGTTTGCTTTAGTTTGGGACCTGCTTCAAGAAATATCAGACAAGTTGTAGTCATGATCCAATATTTTCATAATATACATTTGTAGTCATCCTTATAATGTGTCATGATTGAAATACAAATGTAATGCTTTTTCATCCATTTTGGCCTTATCGCGTACCATGAACTGCTTTCAGACCTAGTCATGCTGATCAGGGTGAAATTCAATGCTGAACAAAAATATGTCAAGATCATTGACCTGACATTTGAAATCCTTTTGATTGGAGGTAAACATTTAATTTGTGATTGGAAATACATTTATTGTTTTCATACATTTACAAGTCACTCTGATTACTCTTACCATTATGATTGCAATTCTAATTGTAGGTTGTTGTTTTAATGTTTGTCACAGCTTTCCTGAAATTTGAGATCCCACTTACTAGTTTATCAGAGGCAAAGCTGTATGATGGGTCTGGAACTGAAGTTGATGGGGATGTATTTGAGGAGGTGGTGAAACGGCCAGATCTTGGTGTTTTCAAGCTCACACTGAACAATGATGCTAAAGGTATGTGTTGGTTTTCAAGTCTTGGTTACTTGTGGCATCACTTTCAATATAACCATACATTTGACATGCCTGTATTGTCATCTTTGTGTATTGCAGAGTCTTCCCTGACGAGTCCTGTCTCTGCCAGTTCTGTGATGGTTGGTTCAGACCATGAGTCGGATGATACAATAATTTTGAGCGAGGATGGAAGCCCCTCACGAAAGCGTCAAAGATCTGATGACGAAGCAAAAAATGTACGTTTGTAACTCATTCTTCAATTGTCTTGCCATTAAATTGATTTTTCATTGCTGTTTTTTTTTTTACAGCTAATAGAGAGCATACTGAAGAAAAAGCCTGTTGGAGAGGTTGTCATCAAGGAATACTCCAAAACTAAAAGCCTGATTGACTGCACCAGATGAAAGATGATCAACATTCTTGTTTTGGCGATGACAGAGACTCATGGGTAAGTTTAAAGGAAAGATTCATAATGAAACTTGTTGAGCATTACTTGCTCCCATATCTGCTGAATGTTAAAAAGGACTTTATGTAAGTATACATTACAACTGATGAAGGGCATATGTGTTTAATTCGTCTGGTATGGTATCTGAGCAAATGGGACTTGGTTATTTGTTTTTTCTTTCAAGATTAGTAACCATGTTCATTTTCTTAAGGAACATTATTACAACCCTAATAGTGGAGAAGGGTACCTCTCGTATAGAATCAAAACCGTTCAGAGGAATTTGGCTTCATCTGAGAAACAGCCCACTCAACTATACCCTGGAGCGCCAACTGCTGAGAGGGAGTCCAGTCCATCCACTTTGGTTACCGTGAGTGAAGACCAGTGCAGAGAGGCCATTTCTCTTTTGAAGTATTCTTCTGATGAAGAAACAGTCAAACAGAAGATTAAATTGACCTTTGAGTACAGGAAGAAGATGACCCACGACCCGAGTAAATGCTCCACCATCCTAACCAAATTTCCACGCTTTCTGGATGTGAAGAGCTTGGTAGACTTTTTTTAAAGAACAGTTTTCAATTGTATACATTTCGTTTAATCTCTAAATGCCAATTCAGGTTGGCCAGTAAATTTAAACAAAAACAACACTTCCGTAATAGTAGTTAAATTAATGTGTATGCTGGTGATTTTCTCAAACTCTGTTTTGGAGGTTAAAGTGGAATGTTTTGTAAGAAAGAAATTGACTTGCACAAAACTAATGTTTTGTACTTTGTCTTATTTGTTTCAGATTGAACAGGATTTTGTGCTGCTGTTTGGAGAGGGAACATTAGCCAAGTTTTTGGAGAGGTGGCCAACTACATTCAAGCAAAAGATCATCATGCTAAGCATGGCCACTCAGGGAGCTGAACTTCAGGAGCTGATCCAGATGCCAGAATCTGCTGTTGATGAGGGAGCTGACACGAATGCTGACAGTTAGATGATCATAATTTATCATTAATATTTAAAATAACTCTGAAATGTTAATGTCACTGATGATGGAATTTACCATTTTAAATCAGGATCTCTTCTTTGTTTAGGATGGGACGGTGACCTTTCCTCCATCCTTCTCCTGCTCCATTTGATTCCTCCTTCATCACAAGGCTGCAAAAGACCAGGCAAGATGTCTGCATCCCAAGCTGAACAGCATCTTGTGATATTCCAAAAGATTTGTATTAGCGTTCTTATTCTTGGATAGTGCTGCAGCCGTTATGATGAACTAATGATGGTGTTCGTTTATGTCGTCTTCAGATAGGAACCAGTATCCAGGAGCACATTGATGCGATTGACCAGAGCCGCCAACCATATCTTCTTGCAGTCGGGACCAGGAAGAGCAGCATCCATGCTTACTTCATCATCCTGGACAAGTGAGCCTTGCTGTGCAAGTCAACGAGTGCTCTTGGTGCCTTCGATTAGCTTTTCAAGACTAACTTTGTTTTTGGTACTGCTTACAATACAATGCTGCTCAACATGTACACCTTCATACAGACAACTGTGTGCAACATAGACATTGGGAAGGTTAAGGAGACTCCAAGGGTTGCTGAGCTCAGAGCTAGACTCCTGCACTTATGATGATATGTTTTTTTTGCCATGCTAGTCATGGACGTACCAACTTGCTCGTGAGGCATCTCAAGTTGATGCATGGAATGTGCCCTGGTAGAACTTTTAGACTAAAATGTGGTCAAGCAGATTGTTGTCGTGTATTTGGTACATTTTCAGGCTTTAGGAAGCATTTGAACAGGAAGAAGCAGTTCAAGAGATACAGGGTCAAGCTAAAGCAACTACTCTGACATATATATCTTCAAAAGACATCATTCTTTTCCTTTCACATTGTTGAATTCGATATCAAAACGAAGTGCTTATTTCATACAAAAATGGGGAACAGTTATGCCAAGAGTGTGCAAAGCTGTCATCAAGGCAAAGGGTGTCTATTTGAAGAATCTCAAATATAAATTATATTTGGATTTGTTTATCACTTTTTTTGGTTACGAAATGATTCCATGTGTTATTCATAGTTTTGATGTATTCACTATTCTTCTACAATGTAGAAAATAGTAAAAATAAATAAACTCTTGAATGAGTAGGTGTTCTAAAACTTTTGGCCGGTAGTGTATATATGAAGAGACGTCCTCTCTTTTCTAAAGAGAAAAATGCATTGCAAATTAAACTCTTTTATGACGACTCTGAGACTGCTAATCCATTGGGATCAAAAAATAGTATTCTCAAGTTGGGAGGTATATACTTTACTTTGAGAAAGTTTCCCCCAAAGTTTAATTCAATTTTGGTAAATATTCACTTATGTGCAGTCTTCCATACCCAGGACCTTAAAACTTATGGATTTGATTCCATTCTTGAAGTTCCCGTCTTCAGTGGTCGTATACATGGCAGTATTGTCCAAGTAACTGGAGATAATCTTGGTATACATTGCCTGTTTGGTTTTGTGGAATCATTTAGTGCTTGTTATTGTTGCCGTTTTTGCCTCACTGAGAAAGTGGATTTTCAAATTGTGTTCTCTGAGGATGACCGAAGAGTGACTTTATGAACAAAACACATGCACTCAGACCATTGTCAAACTATTCAGTCAAACCCAACACTACCTCGTGTACGGTGTGAAGCATGCTTGCTTATGTGTACGGTAGAATTCAATCATTTAACTATGGCTACACATAGAGGAGGAATTGTCCACCTGCAGTCAAATTGGATGATGGGAGCAATGGTTTGGGTCTAAATGCTATTCAGTCTTGGTGTCTTCTCCGTAATTTGCCATTGATATTTGGTGATCTGGTACAGAAAGATGATAAATACTGGCAGCTGCTTCTGTTACTACTACAAATGGTAAATGTTGTGTTTTCTCCTATATTAACAGAGGGCATGACTATCTATCTGAAGCACTTAATTGCTGAACATCATAGGCTTTTCAAGTATTTGTTTCCTGATAAAAACCTGTTAACGAAACACCACTTCATGATACATTATCCTCGTTGTATAAGGAATATTGGGCACATTCTTCACTTGTGGTGTATGCGCTACGAGGCAAAACATAATTTCTTAAAAAAACAACTGAAGAGTTTTAACAATGTCACTATGACCTTAGCCAAGAAACACCAAAAGTACATGGCATATAATTGGGAAACGTTCAGCCGGGATAGACTAGCTATAGGTCCAGGAAAGATGTCAAGGCTCAATGACCTGAAAGAATGCCATGAGATTGCTGCCATGTTGAATGTCTCAGTGCACACAAATGTTTTGTCAGTTAAATGGGTAAAGCACCATGATCTTGATTTGGTCATGTGGTGAAGTAGTCATTGAAATGCCAGTATTTTACGAAATTAATGCTATTGTTCTGAAAGAGGAAAATGTTGTTTTGGTTGGGTCAGCTCTTGAAACCTTATGTTTTGTTGATCATTTGCATGCATTTAAAGTTGTTTTGATGCGAAGTCCACCATGCAAGGTATTTCATGTAAATGACATCATGCACCACAAACCTTTTGATTTGATCATGTCATATGGAGCAAGGGATTTGTTGGACTACATTGTCCCCTACTGTCACTTGATAACAGTTTAAGCCAGGGCTGAGACTTATGGTTAGGTTGTGAGAAACATATATATTTTTAATGTAAATGGCATCATTTTCCAACAAACCTATTGATTTGCTCATGTCATATGGAGCAAGGGATTATTTTGACTACATTGTACTGTCACTTGATAACAGTTTAAGCCAGGGATGAGATTTATGGTTTGGTCATAATAAACATATTTGAATGTTGAAACAGCTTTGCTTGAGTTTATTGTGAAATTCCAAGTGCTTTTACAAAATATGATTTATATTTACGTGGGGGAAGAGTAAATTAATTAACACTGAATAGAGTAAAGACATTTTTACTCTAATAGGAGTCACCCTAGATCAACACTAGTGAGTGTCACTATAACACTCAGTGTTGATTACCTCTTAGTGTTAAATTTGATCAACACCGGCCAGTGTAGTGCAGTGTTAACTTTTTGCACTCCTCAGTGTTAAATCAGCGCTATAAATGTAACACTTTGATCAGTGTACTTTTTACTCTGTGTAGAGTGGGACCATATGTACTCACTGACAGTGTTAAATGTAACACTTAAAGTGTTGATTTAACACTTTCAAATGTACTGTGTACTCCAGTCAGGTAAGTGGGTACTCTCTTATGCCTGGACTAGACTGACTGGATATGTCCTTTTTCTATGATGTGGTTATCTAGTGAGTGTGGCTTATTGGGCCCTTCTGGCCTCCCCTGGCTTATGGTGGTTAATCATAGGATGCATGACTGAGCAGTCGGCGCTCAGCTCTCTGAGCTCCACCATGTTTATTCACTCAGACATGATGGATAGAAACACTCTTCTGTCCTGTCTGTCTGTCCACTACTCCTAAGAGTGAAGGGAGTTCTTGTTGTTTATGCTCTAAAACACAGGCCATCTCTCCGGTTCTAGCAGTGGGTGCAGATAAGCATTGTTATGCTCTGCCTTGGAGGAAAAGGGGAAGTGTTCTACAATTATGTTTGGTTCACAGCAGCATGCAAATGTTCTGCAGCAGCTATCACAAAATCGTACATTGTCATTATTTTTATTCAACAGTAAAATAGAATACATTTACAATAGGTTTAATTGGTCTATATAACCACGTGTGAAGAAAACCCTCACCTCACCTCCTCTTTGTTGCAGTGAGTCACCTCCAGCCAGCGATGCTTAGACTGAAGGTAACAGGCTAGAATAAAGCCTCAGGAGTCACATAACGCTATATCCTTGACGCTAGACCTACACAGTCCATGTGAGTGCACAATAAGTACTGAATACAAACTGTTTTGCAGTAGCTACTGACCGTCGTCTTCTGTGCTGCACTTTACATGCGAGACGGTTTGAGGAGGCTTGTGTGAGCACAGTCAAACAAAACTGCATATTGGATCAAATACATAGACAATGTACTGACAGGATGGCAGGCATAAAGGGTTTCACTCATCCATTTTAGCTTCAGCTTTATTCTGTGAGCTTTATATTATGAAACTATACTGTAGGCTTAGTTACATAAACATATTTGGTGGCATATCCACTAATTACTGTATTTTCTTCATCACCAGAGTACTGGGCTCAACTCAGTGGTGCTGTAGTAGAATAATCAACACATTTTGAGTATCTGGCCCTGACCAAGGTTTCAACAGAAAAACCTCATGACTGACCAAAAATCATAATCTCATGCACCCAATTCTACCACATTGCATTTTTAACAAGACACTCTGTTTTTCCAATAAGACATTTTTGGACAAACAAAACTACTCAACCTTGTCTAGTTTCGTAGCAATCATGTGCCAATGGGGAAAGAGAGAGAGGTTTTAGGATGGTGCTTACATTTAATCAAACAACTGCAGATGTAACTCCTGTCATGCTCATTTGAGACTGACTGTTTGTAAGCCCCTTAAATGGAGCAGTGGGATTGGACAGACCATCAGGTTGAGAACGTTGGCTCTGCTTGGACTGAGAAAGCAATGG